TGCTTCGTAGGGAATGGGGGAATGGGTTATAGGGATTACTATACTATAAGGGACCTTAAGGGGCTATCATAGGGATCCATTCCCCCATTCCCGACTAAGCGCCAGACAGTCCTGCATGGATAAAGATATCTCCGGCGGGAATCCAAAGCTGCCGGTGGTAGAGGTGTGTATCGGACACCACAGCGAGCCGGGTGGTGTTAGGGCCAGGCTTGCGCAGCGCTGACTCGGTGGTGTATTTCCATTCGCCAGCATCAACGTCGACGTACAAAACACGCCCAGCCCGAAACCAATTGAAGCAAGCAGTGAAGAGCTTGTGTAGCCAAGACCACTGTGAGAGAAAGTCATAGTTCATGTGCCGAAGCTTGCGGTAGCTTCCCTTGGCAAGATCTACCCAAAACCCGCCTCCGCAAGCCATGACCCTAAAGGGTCCTCTGTACCTGTATAGTAGAATGTAAGGTTTTTATATTAGGAATGGCTATTGTGATTTAGGGAAATATTTCGCATAACTGTACATATAGGACCCTTTGGGGACTTATGCCATGGTCATCAGAAATGGCAAGGTCGAGCGACTTGCTCGGCTTGGAAAATGCTGCGAACATGGGAAGTTGAGAAACTCATAGAACTCCATCAACCCTAAACCCGCCTTAAATATACCCATATAGTACATACATGTGAAATAAATGAATAAACAAATGAATAAATAAATAAGTAAATAAATAAGTATATATATATATAGATACATACCCTAAACCCTCAACCGTAAACCCTAAACCCTAAATCCAAATGTAAAAATGTACGTATGTCTACTAGGGCATCGGGCTAAGCGCTTCGGGGTTGCAGCTGTAGGCTTTGATGTGGGCGCTTACTAGGCAGAGTGGTAGCTTGTACTGAAATTTCTGCACATGTTTAGGGTTTAGGGTTTCGGCGTCGGGGTTTAGGGTTTAGGGTTTAGGGTTTAGGGCTTAGGGGTTCACGCTTTAGGTTTAGGGGTTTAGGGCTTATAGGGTACATGTCTCCTCAATCCCCAGTGTCGAGCATGTCAATATCTTCGCCTGATCTGATTGTACGCGGACTTGAGCACTTCAACCCTACCTGTAGCCGGAAAGACCTATTTAGGGTTTAGGGTTTAGGGTTTAGGGAACTTATAAGCCCTAAACCCTAAACCCTAAAACCATAATAAGGAACCCTAGAAAGGCAGGTCTTTTCGGCCACAGGTAGAGGAAACAGAAACCCTATACCTGCAACCCTCCAGAGCCTAAGCCCTTGAAGCCCTAAACCCTGAACCCTAAACCCTAAACCCTGAACCCTAAACCCTGAACCCTAAACCCTAAACCCTCCTGGACCCTAAACCCTAAACCCTCCAAAGCCCTAAACCCTAAACCTTGGACCCTAAATCTCGGAAGCTTTGAAGGCCGGCAGGCCGTGAGCCCTAGGACCAAAACCTGGAGCCTGCAAGCAACGACGTGTTATGGAACAGCGAAGACGTGGGTTTAGGGTTTAGGGTTTAGGGTTCAGGGTTTAGGGTTTAGAGCCAAACCTGACAAAATTACATGGGGTTGTCAGTGGTTTAGGCTCTAGGGCCATTTCAGGGCGCAGTAAACTGCAGTGGCCTGAAAAAGCCAGACACTTGGAGCAGTATTATCCTCATGTGCCTGCTTCCAGTGTACAGAGTACTTCCTGCATTAATCGTCCTCAATCCATGCTCCAACTTTCAGGAGTTTGCCGCAAAACCACAACCCTACAACCTAAATATCATCGCCTAAGATCCTCTGAGCCCGTCCCTAAACCCTAACCCCCCCCAAAAACCCCAAATCCCAAAATAGCAGTGCCCAACTTCAGCAGCTGCGCCTGCGAGACGCGACGCAAAGCCTGACTCCACGGGTGATAGGATCAGGGAAACGTTTGGGCCTGGGTAGAATTTTGTGAACCTCCAACCTGAATCCTGAACCCTGAACCACCCTCTAATATAACCTAAGTACCCCGAACTAAAGACCATAAGGGCTCTGTTAAAGGGGTTGATGTGGGGGTCCTGGTAAAGCCCTAAATGGCCCTAAACCCTAAACCCTAAGCCCTAAGCTCTAAACCCTAAAGCCCTCAAGCCCTAAACCCCTAAAGCCCCCAGGTATGCAACTCGGCTGCTATTATTATTTTTGCCGGCACCGCGCTGGTCCGCGTCAGGCTCCTGGCCCTCGAGGGTCCAAGTATGTCCAAGTACTCTGCTACTTGAGCTTAGGGTGTAGGGTTTAGGGGTTTGGGGTTTGGGGTTTAAGTTTAGGCTTTAAGGGCTTTGGGTTTAGGGGGTTTAGGAGTTCAGGCTTTAAGGGTTAGGCGGGTTTAGGGGCTTAGGGATTTAGGGTTTAGGCACCCATACATAGGCACTGTGGGGTCTCTGTCTCTGTAGGCATAGACTGCATTGGTACCTGGATCCTGAGGGAAAGGCTACAGATGAGCTCCTGTCGAAGTGGGCCCAAATAATGGGCAAACCCTAAACCCTAAACTCTATCGATGTGGGCCCAAATAATGGGTACTTAGGGCCTGATAGAGGGTAGACGGAGGGTCTAGGTACAACTAGCTTTCATCGAACATCCGGTGCCCCTGCAGCTTTGGGGCTTAAACTTCTGGTATCAGTAGGTTATGACCTTTATGTATATAGGGTGAAACCCTTAACACAATAGGTTTGTAGATACCCAGGTTGAGGTTCTGCTGTTCGACCTACTTGGAGGGTCGGGGCGTCTAGTACATGGTTATTTTTATAGACTTATACGTACTATAACCCCAATTAGGGTCCCTTTTAGGTACTTATAAGTCTACTTACTAAGTCTCTAAGTCTCCCGACCCTCCAAGTACCGTACAGAACCCTAAACCCTAAACCCTAAACCCTGAACCCTAAACCACCGTATAGATCCTCAGCAACACCGGCGCCTGAAACTCTGCCCACCCTAGCCTTCAGAGCTACATCCGAAACCCTGAACCCCTAAACACCTCAACGCTAAACCGCTAAATCCTAAACACCCTAAACCCTAAACCTGAACCCTAAACCCTAAAACCTGAACCATAAACCCTAAACCTAAACCCTAAACCCTAAAACCCTCAACTCTCAACCCTAAACCTATAAATTATACTAGCTTAACCCCTTAAACCCTAAACCCTCAAACCTACTGAGGAGCGCCAATGCACAGACTCCCAAATCAACCGACTCTTGATGTCGGGTTTAGGCGTTTAGGGGCTTAGGGTTTATGAGTCTAGGGTTAAGGATTTAGGGGTTTCGGGATCAGGGTTTAGGGTCTACTTAAAGGTTTCGGGGGCTTCGTAAGTAGGTTTATGATTGGGGGTTAGAAATCCCTATAAATGTCGGGTGCCAGCGTGATTATTTGTGGACACGCCTTTCAGCAGCTGAACATTTAATACTGAGACTAGGGGAAGTAAAGGTCCAGCTTCGGGATCCTTTGGGGGTTGGTACCCAAAAATGGTTAAGGGTTTAGGGTTTAGGGTTTAGGGTTTAGGGTTTAGGGTTTAGGGTTTAGGGTATATGGGAGTTGGTACCCAAAAATGGTTAAAGGTTGTCTTCTGCTGCTGGGCTTATACTTACTCGCAGAACGGACTACCTGCGAACCCTCTACCTACCAGAGTCATAGGTCTACCACGGAGTGTCTGATCGTTCCCTAAACCCTAAACAGAAACTCAGCAGTTCTGTTGCGCGCTTCCTCATCACATGTTCCTGTGCTTTTGATGGCCATGTATAATTATCGGGGATTCTTATTTTCTCCCCTAATTGAATCAAAGGATCCTAGAATCCTATAGCAGCCCAAAAACCTAGAGGGCCTAAGGTTAACGTCATAAGTCCTGAAACCCCCTAAAAGCCGTAACGACAGGGCTCAGACAAGTTCGGAAGGACTGCATTCTCGCCAGAAGGCGCTGCAGAAATGCTCAATCAGAGTATAAATCCTAAACACTAACCCCTGAACCCTAAACCCGAAAACCCTCAACCCGAAACCCTGAACCCTAAACCCTAAACCTAATCGGCAGGGCGCTGGGGCATGAGCAAGATTAGGGCCTGAGCCGAGACACCGGGGTAATGTGGATAAGTTTTCTACATTCTACCCTATAAACCCTAAACCCTAAACCCCTAAACCCTAAACCCGAACCCCTAAACCCTAAACCCTAAAACCCTCAACCCTAAACCCTAAACCCCCAAACCCCTAAACCCCTAAAATAACGATATACGCATGCAGAAATCAGAGCCCTCCCCAAACGGTTTTGGGGATGCCCTCCGTGAAGGTCCACAGCTTAGGTTTTAGGGTGTCAGGGTTTTGGCCGTTCGAGTTAGAGGCCTCGGGCTTTGGGCGTTGGGCTTAGGGTTTAGGGCTCAGGGTTTCGGGTTTAGGGTTGAGGGTTTAGGGTTCAGGGTTTCGGGTTCAGGGTTGAGGGTTGAGGGTTTAGGGTTTAGGGCTTACGGGCATTTGGCTTTGGGATGATCGGGTTTGGTGATAATCGGTTCAGGGTTCCGGGGTTTAGGGTTTAGGGGGTTTACGGGTTTAGGGTTAGGGTCTTGCGTTTGGGTGTATGCCGTGGCGCAGGCTTGTGGCCAAAAGCTTCTGCAGAGCTCTCTGAGTAGTGAGCAACCAGCTCAGCGGCAGAAGCTGCCTTTGACCCTGTGATCTCTACCAGACGTACTTGCAGATACTTGCTTTTTGTTGAGCAACTTGTTCAAGAACACAGTTCTACATAGCGAATATGTCATGATAGGTAAGGGCAGGGATGACGAAGATGCGGAAGATGATGATCAGACGACGACGAGGAGGAGGACTGCTGCTGCTGCTGCCGCTGCTACTACGACTACCACCACTACTACCACAACGACTGGAAGTAATGAGTAAATGTGTACACTAAAGATACACCGGATGCCCCAAAAGGGATCCGCGGGCTCTGTTGAGTTTGACTCCTCCTGATCTCTTTCGGCATGGAAGATCGTTCGTTTTGGGCTTCGGGTGTTTTTTTTTTTTTTTTTT